GGCTCCTTGAAATCACAAATCATCTTTCAAAGTTCAAAGTTAGGTGTTGTTGAGTCTTTCATTCCCTTTATGTATTTGTTTGAAACCTTGAGGATTTAAATCTATGACTTGATGAAGAAGCTTATCACACCAAATCTCATGAGCATCGTTCCGGTTTTTCTCGGGCTGCTTGTGGTTTTCTTTTCTGTCTTTTTTAACATTTTGATGCAGTCCCCAACCGACTCCCAATTTAAACCTTAAACCTTGAATAAAATCCTAAATTTCAAGACCATTCCCATCCTTAATGCTAATCACTCACATATCCTCCACTGTGATGTCCTTCAGAATCTGACAGTAGTCGACATTCCAGACAGCTTGATCATCCCAGACTTTGGAAGCCAGCAGGATAGCACCCAGAACGATCCTCTTCCAGTTTCCTGGACAGATGTCAATCTCTGCATAGGTCAGGAGCCTCTCCAGATAAACCTGCACAATCACATGGATAAAGACTGAAAACTAGATAGAAAATCAAAGCAGCAGATAATCATTAACATGGAAAAAACAGTTTACTAACAGAACCTGATTTGATCTAACTAATAGAGTCGGGAGGTAAACGATTGTTTTGGTTTTTTTTTCCCCCCCTGTATGAGAAACTACATTCATCACTGATCTCTCAGAGCCCACAATAGTCACATGCATCACAGTAGTTATGATGCATAGTCTCATCAACAATTTGCACACATGCCTGGGTTGTCTGAACATATCAGGCTGCAATTTCCCGGGGGCCTAAACACAAACTGTGTGCGCACAACTGAAATGTCCATCTTATCTCACCTTAGGGGGGCAAAGTGTCATGAAGATACCTTTTTTTTAAAAAATGCATTATTTAATGGCAATACACAAATAAGCCTCACCAGTGTGACAATTGCACACTCAGCAGTGAGCTGAGCAGCACTGAACAGTGTCCTGACAAAACGGTAAATCTGCTTCTGCTCCGGATCGTGTTGATTGTAGTCCGGTGGAACCTCTGATTTCTGGATAAATGAAGGGAGGCAGAGATTGGACAAAAGAACAACAACCATCAGGGAAAGTGAGAAAAGTGGATGATGGTGGATGACAATTTTGCGAGGAGGAAGAAAAGCCAAAACAGAGAGTAGGGTGAGAAAGACAACAAGGCATAAAGAAAAGTGCGCAAGTGAAAATGAAGCAACAGACGGTGAGGGTGAGAGCAAAAATAAAGGGTTTAAAATGGGAGAGAGAAAAATCTTAACGCACAGAACCAGAGTCTACCAAGGTGCATTAAAAATACAACAGAACATCTGACACAGGTTTGTCAAAACGAGCAGCAGGATAGTCAACAGATTTAAAAATGAAATCGCTTATCTTACCGAGAGAGGGTGAAGCTTCTCATCAAAGATATCTAATAGCGTCCCACCGTCTGCATCTCTGAAAAGGAATAAAACATTTATTTTTCCTCTCTTCTATCCATCCACTTTCTCAAATACTCATCCAATCCAGGGTCAAAGAGCCTGGAGCCTATTCCAGTTATCACAGAGCGAAAGGCAGGGTACACTTCAGTGTGCTAGCCACAGTGAGCTACTACCGTAGCAAAAACAGA